GTGATGCCTGGACCAGGCAGCATGACCTGGGGGGGCCGAGACTGGCCCTGTCCTTGCACAGCCCCAAGCTTGGTGTTCGGCCCCTGCATTGCCTGGGCTCCTGCCCATCGGGGCCCCCCACCCACTAACCTGCCCCATGCCGGGGCTCATGGGCTGGGGGGTCCCTGGGTGCTGAGGGCACTGCAGGCTGGGAACAGCCGGATGCCCACCCCAGCCCCTCCATGCACTGGGCTGGGAGCTACAGTACCCCCCCCCCCCCGACCCTGCCATATGGGCACCGGGATGGCATTAGCAATGGGCCCACTGAGAGCAAGGCCCTAGCCTTAGGCCTCCCAGATGTGCCCGCATCCAGCTGTGTCCATGTCCAGCTGTGCCAGGGCAGGCAGCTGCAGGGCTTTGAGGGGGGGGGGGGCGTTGCCCATGTTGGGCTTCTTTTTTTTTTATACCACTCTGGAATAAACAGCTTTAAATGGCACCGGGGAGAAATGGCGCTGATGTGGCACTGCTTTTGGGTGTGGATGGGTGGGGATGAGGGTGTGGATTGGGTGGGGATGAGGCAGGGCCCCCGCACCCCAAAGACCATGGGGGCAGGGGCCGCTGTGGACATGCCCAGGCAGCCAGGGCATCATCAGGGCTTGTGGGGGAGGCCTCCTAGGTTCTCTGCCCTGCTGCAAGGGGCATGATACCTAGTGGGCAGAGTGGGGCAGGGAGGGGCATTGGGTGGCAAGACCCCTGGGCTCTTCTGCTAGCTCTAAGGGGAGTGTGGCCTAGTGGGCAGGGGTGGGGGGGCCAGGACTTCTGGGTTCCCTGAAGGGAAGTATGACCTAGTGGGCAGAGTAGGGGGAGATGGGGGGTGGGGGGCAGTGTTGAAGGTTAGGACTCCTGAGGTCTCTGCCCTGCTCCAAGGGAAGTGTGACTTAGTGGTGAGACTGGGGGGGAGGGGAGGGATTGGGTGTCGGGGATGCGGTACACGTCAAACACACGTCTCCGGAGCGAGGGGGGACCACGACCCCATCACCCTCCCCTGACGGGGACCCCATAGCACCCCCGCATCCCCCTTCCTGCCTCCCCGTCCCATTCAAGGAGCCACAGGCCACTCCGTGCCCTGGAGTTTATTGTTCTCTGAAACCTCTGTACAGCGCCGGCGCGGCCGCGCAGGGCAGGACAAGCAGAGCAAGCGGCGTCCATACAAGCAGGGTTTGGCACCGGGGGCTTTGAAAGCAGCGAGCGCATGCGTTGGATGCAGACTGCGACGGATGGACGGGCGGGCCTGGTCTCCCCCATCTCCTCCTCTCCCCAACGGCTCTAGACGGGGCCGTAAAATCTCCGGTAGGCCTCGTGGAAGCCGATGTGGTCGGCCAGCTCGTCGCAGGCGGGGTTGAGCTCGCAGACCTCACGCTTGCCCTCGAGGGGGTCTCTCACGATGCCATAGTAGCTGCTGGGGGACGGAAGGGCACAGCGTGAGCGGGGCTGGCAGACGCTGAGGCTGCCTGAATGCGGCCACCTCTGGGGTGGAACCAGGCAGCCGCAGTGCTACGGGACCCACCAGGGATTGCCTGGAGCCCGTGAGCAGCAGGAAGGCAGGGCCTGGGCTCAGGACACGGACAGGATCAGGGCCTTACCTGTCAAAAACGTAGTTCCGCTTCTGTCTCCGCATCAGCACGGCACTGTCGCGTTTGGACACGAAGGCTGCAGGGCAGGAGGTGGAGGGTGTCAGGGGAGGGTTGCTCACAGCCCTCCTGCCCTGGCTTTACCCACTGCTCCCATACCCGCCCTCCCTGTCGGTCCCCAGCGCACCACGAGACACGGCGCAGCTCCCACCCCCGCCAGCCGGCTGGACGCGGGCCCCAGGACTCCGGGGCAAAGCCGAGGGGCAGAGACTCACCTTCGGAGCTGGGGGACTCGTTGGCGCTGGTTGAATGGGAGTCTGGAAGCCAGGGAGAGAAGAGACCATGAGGAGTCGTCCTCTGCCCTATCCCACCTGGCGTCCGATCCCTCCCGTGTCTCCGGGCTCATTGCAACCCTGCCACAGAAGCTAGTTTTCCCCTGGGAAAGCCATCTCCCTGCAGCCAGATGCTTGGATTTGGGAGAAACAACCCCCCACCCCAATGCCCAATTGTTTCCAAGCCATTCCTTCTTCCTGGGCCAGGCCATGCCCTCGTCCCTCTGCCTTCCCTGCAAGCTGGGGGTGGGGGCTGGAGGACCTCGAGCCTGCCTGGCACTTGTGTTTTAGAGGGAGTTTAGATTGCCTACAACTAGGATGGGTCAAGGGCATCCGCCACAAGCCCCCGTGGCTGCTCTTCCCCACCCTAAATTTGGGTTAGGACAACATTTCAAGCTCCTTGGCTTGGAAAGCCCTCAGGGGGAGAGGGTCCCCTGCCCCGTGGCAGGGAGGAGAGGGGCAATTCCTGGAGCAGGGTCTCGAGCCGCAAAGGTGGGAGCGTGACCCTCATTGCAGCAGTGGGGAAACGGAGGCACACGACTGGGAGGAGCATCGTCTCCCCCGTCGGCTGGAGGACGGGGCCTGGGTTCAAGCTCAGGGACCGGCTGATGTCTGAGCCAGATGGCAGCAGAGATCCCAGGTGTCCTGACACCGCTCTCTCCGGCTGTAACCATTGGACACGCTCCTTCGGTGTCCTGGCTCCCCTGTCCCCCTGCGCCCACGCTCCCTTCCCCCAGCTGGGTACAAAACATCCTGAATCCCAGACCAACAGCCACGTGTGAACCCAGGTGGCTGGAGCCCCACTCCCTGGCTATAACCACTAGATGCTCCCTCGCCAGCACTGGGCACGGAGCTCTGCCATCCCATCCGGCCGCGGGCACACAGCACCCTCCGCTCCCCCTCACCTTTCCGGCAGAGGCACAGGGTGGCCAGGGCCAGCAGGGTCACGAGCATCAGGGTCCTCATGATGCCGGCGGGTCTTGGCTCTCTCTTCTCTCAGCTGCTGCTTTGATGCTGTCCCTGCTTCTCTGCTGCCATTTATACCCTGCCGAGAGCCCCGGGGAAAGGGCCGCGTCCCCCCCTTATCCTGCCCCCCTGTCCCTTGCTCCGACCACAGGCCGGGAGGGCCCCGGCAGGCTTGGGCCAGGTCTATTTTGGGCTCATCCGCTCGGGCTCCGAGCTGCCAAACCAGGCGGCAATTGTGGCCAGGGCTCCTGGTCCTGTTGAGGGAAACAAGGTTGGGGGGTGGAGGGGACAAACAGGGCAGGGTAGGCAGCCAGAGACGGGCTGCTTCGGGGTGTCTGCTCTCCCAGCACAGAGTGCAGCCCAAGGGACTTAGAGGCCCGGTTTAAGACCCCCCAGGTCCCTCCTCACACCCCTACGCTTGGGCCTGGGATCCAGCGCAGCCCCCAGGGAACCTGAGCCCAACGCTGGAAGGCAGCTTAGAGCCGCCTTTTCCCGGCCCACGGGCTCTGGTTGTCGTTACCTTGATGGGATCTGAGCATTGGTGGGAGAAAGATGGGTCTGGTGACGCTTCTGCCACTGAGATGCTCCATCGCCCCTGGTCACTGCTCCCGAGCCCTCGTCTCACACAGCTCCAAGGCACCAAGTGTTTAAGAGGCGGGGGGTCCAGTCCCACCTGCCCAGGAGCAGTCACCTGGTCATCGGATCCAGCAGTTCAGAGAGGTCCCGGTACCAGAAGCCTGGCTCTCGGGGGCTACCGGGGGCTCTGGGTGTGGGATCTTTAATGGGGGGGCAGTCCAAAATGGCACTGTCAATGACGGTGCAGGCGGAGCTGGACAGAGGCTCCCAGAAGCACGGTGCAGACAGCGAGGAGGGCTTGGGCCTGGAGATGGCGCTCCACAGCACTGAGTCCCGGGAGATGGAGGAGGGTTTGGCATGTGATGGAGGGTGGGTGGGCAGGAGCCGGCAGGGCTAGGACCAACCTTCCCCGCCCCAGCATCCTGCACCTGGTGAGGGACCCATGGTCATTGCCAGGCCCAGTGATCCCGCACTGCTCCAAGGCCCCTGGACCTGCCCCCTGCAAGCTGGAGTCCTGCTCTTGCTCAGGCGGGACTTGAACCCACAGCTCTGCGGGACTTGTGCCAAGGACCCAATAGTGCGGATGCAGTGGGGGGCTGCCCTAGGGAACAAGCTGGACCCCCCCCTCGTAGCCAGGACAGGTCCCAGCAGGGAGGGGGTGGCTGTGAGGCCATCATGGCCCCTTGCGATTGCGGGGCCCCATGGCAGTGACGTGCTTTGTGGCCCATAAT